AACTGCTGTGTGGTGAGGAGTGATGTTGGTGGTTATTTGTGGCTGTGATACATTTGCATAAGCATACAACTGCCATTACCTATTTAATCATCCATTTAACCATAGGCTATAAATTAAAAGTGACTGCCAGTGATAAAGGAAGATTTAATGGAAGCAAATTTACTATTTAGGACTGTGGTTTTTAACCATTTTTAAATCTTAGAAGTCTTGAAAATCTGATGAAGGCAACTGGCGTTTTCCCAAATTGGACTAACACACAAACTGTGGCAGATAAATCGGGGGATTTAGAGATACGCCTCCCCCTTCCTCACCCACACCCTGCTGTAAGCCCATCCATGGATGACCTGATTTTAAATTCATGATTTTGGAGGTCAGCTGTACAGTTGAACTGGTCCATTCATTTAATCTTAAATCATTCATTCATGAGCCAGGCTCTCTGGTATTGTGGGAGGCTGTGATTTTTTTTTTTTTTTTTTTTTTCTGATAAGCCTTTTGGCACTCCTGGAGGCTGTGATTCTTAACTCTCCCTTGACAGCAGTAGTCTTAAGTAAACAAATACAAGACTCATTTGCATCTTGCAATGGAAGGTGTAACTCACATAGTGTATGTCTTTAACCTATGCTCTTTGCAGTTTTAAGACTATGTTTAACATTCCACTGTCCTCTTGCTTTAATACAGCTTTTAATTTCAATTTAAAATGTAATGTTAACACTTAACATTCTTATCCTTATAATCACACAATTTTCAATTGCCTTTCCACCTAAATCTTTATTTATAAACTTTTTTTTTGGTGCTCCCATGTAGCCATCATCTTTAATGCTGCACAGTATTCCAGTGAGTTGATATACCTCTCTGATGCTGGACATAAGGCTATTTCCAGTTTTACATTTTTTGGAGAAGTTGCAAGTAACAGCTTTACGTAGCTTTTTCACTCTTGTCTTCAATTAGTTTCTCAGGACAAATTCTTAAGGATGGGAGTAATGGTTCATTTATAACATTTTTACTAAGCACTTAGTATGTTCCAGGCTGGGTCAGAGGTTTGGCCATTTTCATGACACTTGCTATGCTTTGCCATTCTTTCTCATTGTGGTGGATAACTACTTAACCAATTCAGTCATCATTGAATTGTCGAACCCAGCAGACATGTGCTTCCTCATTCCTCATCTGGTGAATGTTTAGAAGTAAACTAAATAAAGCATGACAGGGCTGGGTACGGTGGCTCACACCTGTAATCCCAGCACTTTGGGAGAGCGAGGCAGATGGATCATGTGGTCAGGAGTTCAAGAGCAGCCTGGCCAAGATGGCAAAACCTCATCTCTACTAAAAATACACAGATTTGCTGGGCGTGATGGCGGGTGCCTGTAATCCCAGCTACTCGAGAGGCTGAGGCAGAGAATTGCTTGAACCTGGGAGGTGGAGGTTGCAGTGAGCCAAGATCGCGCCTGGGTGATCAGAGTGAGACTGCATCTCAAGAAATGACAGTGTGTAGCTAAATGAGATGTACATGCTTGTAGAACTATCTGCCTTTTGGATCATTTACCCAACTTGACCTTCTTTTGCTGTGATAACTGAGAGATGAAGTTTTGACCAAGTCAGAAGATTAGAACACTGTAGAGCTATAAGCATCCTTAGAAATAAGTTAAATTTATTCAAGTCACTTGGAAAAATTTGAAACTTGTTTAAAGCAAAACCACAATACACAGCTTTATTAATATATCCAATTTTTTGTGGATATTTATTAAATGCTCAGTATATGCTTGGAAGACAAATGTGTTGTATATTCTTGATTAGCTATTAATTAGTAGGGAGAGACAAATGCGTAAACAGATAGTTGCTGCAGTGTGCAGTGGACACTGTAAGAGAGTTTATATGTCCAAGAATACAAAGAAAGAGGAGTTTCTGTTTCTTTACTCAGGTTTTTTACTATAGAGAAGCCCCCTTTTTTCTCCTTTCATGGTTTACTTTCATGTCTTGGGAGAGGAAAAACGTGTTAGAGAATGCAGTACATATAAATGACTTAGTTGGGATGAAGACTCCGTTTTTGAAATACATGTATAGTTTAATGAAGATTCAAACTTGAGTAATTAAAGAACCTTTGCCCTGTCAATTACATTATGGCTGGCTGGTTGAAGGGAAATCACAGGTTGATAGTTATCTGAAAAGTCACTTATTTCTTCATAAAAATAATTTCTGGTAATCACTGGAAGGGACAAAAACAAAATAATAGAAACGTGGGTACTGTCATTAGCCATAACAAACGCATATTGTAATATGATCATTTTTTCTATCATCTAAGGTAACAAATAAGAAAGTTGGTCTACCTTCTCTTCTAGAAAGAATACTGAGGATCCTGACAGCCTGGGTCCAGTTATAACTCTGTTGGTACCAATTGTAACTAGAGCTTAACACCCATGCTTCTGTTTCCTCAGTGGTAAATTAGGGATCATAATAGTATACACTTCATAGGACTGCCAAGTCCGATAGATGCTGCTCTGTGCTCATCTTAGCCAACCTCTGAACAGCATTTGCTGCTCTTGACTTCTTCCTTAAAACGCTATTCTCTCTTAGCTTCTGAGATCCTAAACCCTAGTTCTTTTCCATTATTCTCTGCTTCTTTTCATTTGCTCTTCTTGGCTCTTCTTCTTCTACCTAATTTCTAAATATTGAGTGCCCAGGGACCCTTTCTCCTCTTTTTGTTTACTCCTTTCAAAGGTGATCTCATTGGTCCCATGGCTTTAAGTATTTTCTATATGCTGCTGAGTCTTATATGTCTCTGGTTCTGACCTGTCCAGCTTAGAGGTCCGGCTTCTAATTGCCTCCTGGATATTGCTCCTTTAATACACCTCTAACTAGATCCCTGGATCTCTCTGCTAAAAGAAGCAAGCAAAGAAAGAAACTTTTCCTTTTCCCAGTAATCTCTATCTTCATTTAATGGCCTCAGATCTATGTCTTATCCTTGATTCTTTCTTTAACATCACATATCCGAGCTAGCAGCAAAGCACTACCTTTTTGAATGAGTCTATTTCTGTCTGTCTTCCCTACCATCCTTGCCAAGCCAGCATCATCCCTTGTCACATTCGCAGCCTTCTATCTTGTCCTCTTCCTGCCTCGTCTATACATAGCTGTTGGAGTGACTTTTTTAAAGCAAAAATCAGATCATGCCACTTCTCTGTTTTAAGATTTACTAATGGCCTCCCATTGCAGTAAAATAAAATTGAATCTCCTTCCCATAGCTTACACATCTGAGCTGTTTCTGTAGTTAGGAAATGGGGATAATTGTGACTTTAGAATATAAGTTCCATGAGGGCATGGATTTTTCTCTGCTTTGTTCACTACTGTTTTCCCAGTGCCTAGAACAGTGTGTACACATAATAGGCACTTAATATTTATTGGATGAATAAACACGTTCAGATTGTATAGGGACCCTAAAGCCTTTCTTCTTTTCTCTTTCAGAGCAGCATTTTATAGCTCAGTACTTTCTGCATTACATAGGAAGGCCAGCAAAGGCTTCTGATGCAATATCTCTTTTTTTTTCCCTTCTCGCTTTTTATGCATGTTCCCCTGCCCCTCCCTGTCTTATTCTTCAGATCTGAGGATATGTTTGGGTCATTAGGAGAAAGATGAATGGGTGAGTGGGGCGAGAAACAGAAACTGCAAAGGAACCCTGAGACTAGTACCAATAGCATTTAAAACAAACATTTTACTATAGAAAACTTGTAATAGGCCACGTGTGGTGGCGCCCAGCACTTTGGGAGGCTAAAGTGGGCAGGTCACTTGATGTCAGGAGTTTGAGACTAGCCTGATCAACATGGTGAAACCTCGTCTCTACTTAAAAAATTAGCCAAGTGTAGTGGCATGCACCTGTAATCCCAGCTACTCGGGAGGCTGAGGCAGGAGAATCAGTTGAACCTGGGAGGCGGAGGTTGCAGTGAGCTGAGATTGCATCACTGCGCTTCAGCCAGGGTGACAGAGCGAGACTCTGTCTCAAAAAAAAAAAAAAAAAGGAAAATCTTGTAACATATACAGAAGTAATAGATAGTATAATGAATTCTCATCTCTTCATCACCCAGTTTCAACAGCTATCTACTCATGGCCATGTTTTGAACAACCATTGTTTAATTCAGGTCTTGCCTATGGTTAAGGAATCCCTAGTTTATAGAGGTTTATATCACAAATATATTTATTCTGAGGATCATTATTATTTTGTGAACCAACTTATTGAGGACAGATAAGGAATATTTTAAAGGTTATTACAAAAGCCTAACATTTCTTTTTCTTTCCCTTTTTTTTTTTTTTGGAGATAGAGTCTCGCTCTATTGTCAGGCTGGAGTGCAGTGGTGCGATCTCAGCTCACTGCAACCTCCACCTCGCAGGTACAAGCGATTCTCTTGCCTCAGCCTCCCAACAGCTGGGATTACAGGCACCTGCCACCACGCCTGGCTAATTTTTGTATTTTTAGTACAGATGGGGTTTCACCATGTTGGCCGGATGGCCTTGATCCTCCTGACCTTGTGATCCACCCACTTTGGCCTCCCAAAGTGCTAGGATTACAGGCGTGAGCCACCATGCCCAGCCTGAAATTTCATTATTATTTCAACCATTAAGTTTGCAAATAGTGACTAAGCCTGATAAGGGAAGCACATGAACCCCATTGGCAGTTATTTATTTCTTAGTGTCAGTTGGTTAATCAGAAACATGCTTGACTGGTAAGTAACCAAGAGTAGGCTTTGATGGGAGGTATAAAATCATGGGGACCTAGGGTGGGAAGGGCCAAATAAGGATGATGAATAGTGTTCAAGAAGGTACGATGGTGCTGCTTTGCTGCTTTGCAGCTTGCCTGCAGTTGGTCCCAGCCTCAGAGTCTCTAGACTAAAGAGTTTATTCTAGTTGGTGATGTTCCTTGTGCAGTGTTACTTGGGTTCCCCTCGGCTCAGTTCCAAAGACGTGTAAAACTGCGCAGAAAGTGCTTCCCGTTAACTCTGCTGCTTGTTTATTTTTAGGTATCTTGCAATATATTCAGAACTCTCCCTCCTAGTGACAGCAATGAATTTGATCCAGAAGAAGATGAACCTACCCTTGAGGCATCGTGGCCACATTTACAGGTACTTCGAAATACCATTTTTTATAAAAGAAAACTCCATTAATTCATTAGCTGTTGAGCATGGGAATTCCTTGAAGGCCTTTATTCACCAAGAAATCAAATTAGAGTACATTAATGGAAAATTAGAGAATACTTTTTATGTTTCTTTCTCTTGATAATTAGGATGCCAAAAGAATAAAATAGTATCAGTGTGATGCTTTAGTATCTCCCCACCACATTGCAGGTATAGTCAGCAGTTCTTATTCCTCTATTAGAGCTTCTTTTTTTTTTTTTTTTTGGGAAATGGAATCTTGCTCTGTCGCCCAGATTGGAGTGCAGTGGTACAGTCTCAGCTCACTGCAACCTCTCCCTCCTGGGTTCAAGTGATTCTCCCGACTCAGCCTCCCATGTAGCTGGGATTACAGGCGCCCGTCACCACGCCCAGCTAATTTTTTGTATTTTAATAGGGTTTCACCGTGTTGCCCAGGCTGGTCTTGAGCTTTCGAATTCGTGATCCGCCCGCCTCTGCTTCGCACAGTGCTGGGATTACAGGTGTGAGCAACTGTGTCCAGCCTTAGAGCTTCTTTATTATATTGTCCACCAGAGCCTCAAACAAAGCACAGAATTATTTTATATTCATATTAGTTGTGATTAGCTCACAGAGTATATATCTCATTTTTGGCAGTGTGTGTCCTGGGAACTTTGTATGCCTGTCATCACAATAACTACAAATGTGTTTCCTTAGTTAGAAGGACAAACCAAACTGTAATAGCTATTTTGTTCACAGTATTGTAAGGAAGAGTAACAGCTGAGAGAAAGCTTGGGTGAAGGCCAGTTCTGTTCTCTTGCACTGAGAAGGCCATGTTTTCCAATCATTTTCATTGTGCCAGGATGGATCCAGGGGCATCACTGCATCTGTTTCCAGCACTAGACCTGTGTGTATTGTATTAACTTGTATAATATATACTGGTAGTTTTCCAGCTCCTTCCTCCCTTGTGCTGCCTTCTCTCAAGGCCAACATTTCTCAAAAGAATAGAGCAAGGAAATTTGTACATGTTGAACTCCAAAGTCACCCTTTCATTGAGTCAGAATATCCTCAGGTTGCTTGACAAATAGCAAGAAGGGAAGGGGTGGAAGAAAATGAATAATACCTTGTATATCTTCACCCCTAGGCAGAAGCTGCTACAGTTTTGTAGAAATGTATTCATGGTTCAAGTTGACTTTTTGAAAAGCAAACAAACTGTGCAGCAGAGAGAGAAAGCCGAGAGATATTCTAGGAGTTTTTCCCCCCTACTTCAGAATTTTTGATGCAAATTTGCAAGTCTTTCTGCCTTACTTTGACAACTCAGAAGTTTCTGCAGGTACACACATGTGCTATTTTCCCTAGTTACGAATAGAGAGCTCTTAGGGGCTCTGTTTTCTCAACTCTTACTCAGGCATGTTATGCCTATGAATTCCTGCCTTCAGTGCTAAGATTGGGTAAATTAGTTAAAACACTGTAGTTGATTTACTGTCTTAGATGTTATGATTTTTTTTTAAAGTTCCAGACATATTATCTGCAATCTAAGAAATTTGTAAAACTATTTGTGCTTTTCATAGATATATCCCAGATTGTGACACAATCCAAAAAAGAATTACTCTTTTGAATGGATGAATTGTCATGTCTTATTCTCAGTGTTTGGTGCCAGTTCATTGAATTCCAGTTTAGTCTGGAAGAAATTTAACAACAAAAAGATAATCTCCTCAACAGTCTCACATCTTGTGATGGAAAAGTCAAGGAAAGAGATGTCTTCAAAGCCTCAATGTATTGTCTTCTCTGTATTCCAAAGAAGAGACTGTGGACCACTCTTGCCATTTGCAAGAGCTTTTTGAATATTCTAAATCATGATAACCGTAGACATAAATTTTCCCTAAAGCACAATAAAGTTTTACTCAATATTACAGTTAATTCTTTACATACTTAATGACTCTGTAAAATACAGGACCAAATTAACTTCTGAAACTATTCTGCCACAAAAAAAGAAAAAACCACTCTTGCTTACACTGTCATTACTGCAGGCATATTAACCATTTAGTTCATCTGAAACCCTAAAACCAAAGAAACAATGAAGAATGGTGATGAGACCTGTTCCCTTTTGGATATAAAGGCAGAAACGGTATTATAATATGGACTGGTTTCATCTGTGTTGTCATCCTGTTCAAGGTTATAATCCTTTTGTGCTTTCTTTAGCTCAGGGGGAAATATGACCCACTAATGCTGGGTCAGGTGAAGGAAACTTTTAAAATTTGTAAATCAACTTTCATTCATAGTAAAGTTTAGGTCACTAGGCACACTGTTGCCTTCGCCATCTGTTTGTTGCTTTTGGACCAAGGCACCTGACATGGTCTCAAGAATCCTGTGTTTACTTTGTATAGCACAAATTACTCACCTTTCCATTTTTAGTGTTAGGTAGCTTTAGCACTAACGAGAGCACTTATTGAATGTATAAGAATCTCTTTTTCTTCTCATGATAGGTCATTCATGTCATAGTCACCTATCATGAAGTTTAGCATTTTACTTTTCAGTTGATCTGTCTGGTTTTCTGACCGAACCAAAGCAGAGTTTTAGACGTTTTCACTTTTTATTAACTTCATAATTAGCAGTGTGCTTCCTTTTCTGGAACACATTTTGCAACAAAGAAACTATAAATATCTGACAGGAGGTCAAAACAACAAAATTACATTGAGATGTGGTTGTTGAGTGGTTGGCTGGGCTCATTGACCAGCTAATTGCTCTTGCATACCTTTTTGATATAATTTGTGGCCTACACAAAATTACTGATAGGCTGGGCGGCATGGCCCACGCCTAGCACTTTGGGAGGTCAAGGCGGGCAGATCACTTGAGGCCAGGAGTTTGAGAGCAGCCTGGCCAACATAGTGAAACTTCATCTCTAGGAAAAATACAGAAATTAGCTAGGCATGGTGGCACATGCCTGTAATCCCAGCTACTCAGGAGGCCAAGGCTTGAGAATTGCTTGCACCTGGGAGGCAGTGAGCCAAGATTGCGCCACTGCACTCCAGCCTGGGTGACAGAGTGAGACTTTGTCTCCAAGAAAAAAAAAAAAAAAAAAAGGAAAAAGATTACCAATTATAACAAATTGTGGGCCTTTTGGGATCTTTAAAAATAGACAAAAGAATATTAAATCCACAAATTTTTAGTTTAAATATCTCAAAGGGGTCTATTCTATGTATGTAAGTCAGCCTTTTCAATTATCTGAATTAGTATCTTGTTTATGTATTATCTGAAATTAGGTGTGTCTTCAATAGAATACAACTTTATAGGACTTTTATTTATAATTAAGGATTTGTTTTTAATGCTTTCCACTTGAGACTGAAAAACAGAAATTTTTTAAAGGTCTTTTTACTAAAGTTCCTGGGAGAATTCACTTATGTAACCTTGAAAAGTAGTTTGACCTACCCCAGCCCCCAGTCTTTCTCTTTAGAAACTTAGGGGAGATTTTTGATTTTGACGCAAAATCTTTGTCTTAAGTGCAGAGAGCACTTATGCTTATTAATAAATATGTCTGAAATATTTCCACCAAAGCATTTTATACCATAACTGCTTTCAAGGGACCAGAGACGAGAGAGGACTTTGCCAGTCTTGATGGAAAGCCTTATCAGTCCACAGGTCAGCCTAGAAGATGGAAATCTCCCCTCTTTGTGGCAATCAAAAGAGGGCTAAACCCCACTTGATGTGGTCATTTGAATAAGGCTGACATTCTGTTTGTAATACTGAGAGTTGACAGATGAGTGTATAAGAAAAAGAACAGTTCTCTGAGGTCTTAGGACTTGGGCATTATTTTGACTAGCAGAATAATGATGTGAAACTTGGCAATGTCTGGATCGTTAGGAAAGAAATTTTTCTGAATTTAGAGAGTTTCAAGGAGAAAAACATAGTTTTATCAGGATGTAAAATGCTAATTTGAATCCCTAATTTAAGTCTTAGAGTATGAAGTCACAATGTTGCTATGGGAAACATTTAAATCAGTGGTATCGTGGACCCTTAGAGGGGCTCTGAGACCTGATTTTCAGTGTCCTGCAAGGTCAGAACTACCACTGTAACAGTGCTATATATATGATTTGTCCTTTCACCTTGTTGATGTTTGTACTGTTCATTGCAACAGCAATGGTGGTTAAAATTGCTGCTACCTTAATGAGAATCAAGGCACTTGTGCCAAACTGGTCAAGTATTCTTCACTGCCATGTTCTTAGAATTAAAAATGTAAAAAAGCTGATTTCACTTGAGAACATCTTTGAAGAAGCAGTAAAAATTAAATAATTTTATTAAATTTTGACCCTCAAGCACGCATTTAAAAATATCCTACATGACACAATGGGAAGTATGCATATTAACATCCACTGCATACTGAAATATAATGGTTATCTTATGGAAAAGCATTTGTGTAATAGCTTTTTTTTTTTTTTTTTTGAGTGGAATCTCATTCTGCCGCCAGGCTGGAATACAGTGATGCGATCTCAGCTCACTGCAGCCTCTGCCTCCTGGGTTCAGGTGATCCTCCTGCCTCATCCTCCTGAGTAGCTGGGATTACAGGTGCATACCCACACTCAGCTAATGTTTTTGTATTTTAATAGAGATAGGGGTTTCACCATGTTGGCCAGGATGGTCTCGACCTCTTGACCTCATGGTTCGCCTGCCTCGGCCTCCCAAAGTACTGGTATTACAGGCGTGAGCCACCGCGTCTGGCCTTGCATAATAGTTTTTGAGTTGTAACCTAAACTACCTTTTTTTTTTTTTTCCTTAGGAAACATCATTTTTACTTGAAAGAATGACTGACAAACTATGGTTATTCAGACTTGGGTATTTGGCAGATATTTTCTCTGAAACAAACAAGGAAACCATTTGATAATATTTGTTACTACTGACAAAATTATAGTATTAATTAATTTAGAATTAGAATTTTAGAAAACTTGTATCTGCCTTGCATCTGTCACCTTGAGCTTGCAATTTCCCAAAGCTTAAAGACTTTTTAAAAAATAAAATTGAAATAATAAAGAATGTGATATTTTTAGATACTGTTTGTACTTGTCAACATTTGAAAGAGCTGTATAACTCAGTGAACCAATATTTTCCATTTGGCAAATGATGTTTGGAAACATGCATGGATAAAGATTAATTCAAAGTGCAATACAGATGATTGGATTTTAGTGTAACAAAGTATGAAAAGTTCATTGATATTTCAGATTTTATGTTGCAACTAATCTTTAAGAAATGACAGTTAATTGAGTTTTAGTGTAGCATCAAAGAAGAATATCCACAATTATGTAGGAGAATAAAAACCAGTAGAATACTCCCCCTATTTTCAACTACTGGATCTCCATCCATCAGGCTTGATTTTCTTTATATACTTGATACAAATGACATATCACAACAGATTGGATATAGAAGCAGATGAGAATCTGTCTTACATTAAGGCACATGTTAAAGAGATTGACAAAACTATAAAACAGTGCCTTCTCAATTCGTTTGAAAAGTAAAGAGTTTTTTTTTTTTAAACAAGAACATATTACTTAATACATTAACATATAATGCATTTTGTTTTTAAATGAAATAGTAAAATTTTAAAGTTTTTTTTTTTTTTTTTTGAGGCGGAGTTTCGCTCTTGTTACCCAGGCTGGAGTGCAATGGCGCGATCTCGGCTCACCGCAACCTCCGCCTCCTGGGTTCAGGCAATTCTCCTGCCTCAGCCTCCTGAGTAGCTGGGATTACAGGTGTGAGCCACCGCGCCCGGCCAATTTTAAAGTTTTAAAAAATTTTTATTTCTAATTTGAGATATGTGTGTGTGTGTGTGTGTGTGTACACACACACACACACACACACACACACACAGTATTTCTCTCATATAAACAAAAGCTTTGGGGTCCTCGTTATGTGTAAAGGAGTGAGACCACAAAGTTAGCAAATGCTATTTTAGGAATAGCGATGCTGATATGTGTTAGTCATTGTGCAGAGGCCTTTATGTGTGTATTATCACATTTAATCTTAGAGACTGTCCATCTCCATTATAAAATTGAAGAGACAAAGTTTCAGCGAAATTAACTTGCTCAGGGTTACACAGTTAGTAAGGGAAAGAGCTAGATGTTCAACCCAGTATTCATGTCTTAAAACCTTCTGGATTTTGGCCAGGTATGGTGGCTCACGCCTATAATCCCAGCACTTTGGGAGGCTGAGGTGAGCAAATCATGAGGTCAGGAGATCAAGATCATCCTGGCCAACCTGGTGAAACCCCGCCTCTACTAAAAATACAAAAAATTAGCTGGGCGTGGTGGTACCTACCTGTAGTCCCAGCTACTTGGGAGGCTGAGACAGGAGAATCGCTTGAACCTGGGTTTTGGAGACTGCAGTGAGCCGTGATCACGCCACTGCACTCCAGCCTAGGCGAAAAGAGGGAGACTCCATCTCAAAAAAAAAAAAAAAAAAAAAAAAAAAGTTGTGTGTGTGTCTGTCTGAAAAAAAAAAAATGGTGTGTGTGTGTGTGTGTGCGCGCGCGTGCGTGCCTGTCTGAAAAAAAAAATGGTGTGTGTGTGTGTGTGTGTGTGTGTGTTTTAAAGAAATGTAGTCTTGTTCTGTTGCCCAGGCTCAGCGTTCTGAGTAGCTGAGACTAGAGGCGTAAACAGTTGTACCACCTAAAGGTTCTGGTTTTGATACACTGTTGCATACCTCACCAGGATCTAATATAGCCTTTAACATAGACTTACTATGCAAAGAGAATAAGCAACGATTCTCCACTGTTTATCAGAACAATTATTTGAGCTGACTCTTTGCAGATGGGTATATTGTGCCACACCACCTTATTGGATGAGTAGAGATTGCCATAAAATTTCTGAAAAGAAATTTGTTAATGAGTATCAAAAATTCTGAATGTTTGGATATCTTGTGATCTAGCAATTACACATTTAGAAATATTTTCTCATGACATAATTAAACAAGAACACGCTGACATGTGTTATGTGATGCACGTTGTTGCAGAATGATGAGGAAATAATTCAGAAACTACTTAGATGTCTAAGCCTGGGAGATTGGCGAAATTAGCTATGAATAATGGAATTATTCATTATAAATTATGTATAATGGACTCTTACAGCTCCTAAGAATGATAGTTTAGATATTGTTGATGTAAATTGTTGATAATACGTTGTTTAAATGGTAAAGTAGTCTGTAAAACTGTAAAATTATATTTATATGGTATGTTAAATGATGTATATACGTAATATATTGTTTAAATGGTGCAAGTAGTTTGCAAAACTATAAGACTATATAGTACATCAGTATGTTGTTGAAGGAGATACATACATGAAAATGTTAACCGTGGTTGTCTCTGAATGGTAAGATTATGGGAAATTTTTCTTTGCTTTGTTTGGTTGTGTTTTCTAATTAAAAATTTTAAAAGTTGAAAGCATGATAGCAACCGTGAGCCACAAGAAAGACTGGCCTGGTTTGTTGATTGATATTAAAATCAATTTTCTATGCCCTGTCACTTTTAGTGTTATAGGCTTTTGGTGGTTTTTACTACTATTCTCAGTGAATCATAATTTGAAATTAACTATGATCTGTTTGTTGCAGCTTGTATATGAATTTTTCATACGATTTTTGGAAAGCCAAGAATTCCAACCCAGCATTGCCAAAAAATATATAGATCAGAAATTTGTATTACAGGTAAGCAAATTATTGTGGATATATTTGTCATTCAGTTAACACTTTATCTCATTTTCTCTTCATATTTGTTAAAAAAGTTTTGCAATGTCAGTTATATCACCCACATATATATATATATGTTAATTTCCATTACTGCCTGTTAAAAGTAATAAGTGTATTTAAATTTATTTGTGATAGAAATCAATTACATTTTAAAAGCCAGGAATGCTAATGCCTAAAGCCCTACTGTTTTCTTCCTTAAAATTTAATTATAAAGTAATTTCATTTATATAACCGTGGTTTGTGTGAATCTTTATATAGCTTAAAAACTTATATTTGCATAAGGATTCTTAAAGAACTGTAGTATAGATCTGTTCAAACTGCATAGGCAAGCTCAGACTTCAAAGTGGAAGTAACCTGTAATAAATAATCAAATTCAGGGTACTGATGAGCTTCCACTGCTAGGAAATAGCACAGCTTAACGTTCTAAAATTTGCCGAAAGGGCAAATTAACTCTCATCTCTCCATTTGGAACATCTCTGGGAACGCTTTTTTCCTAACTCTTCATTGTACATGTTATAACCATGGATCTTCCTTTTTATCAGGGACTTCGGTGCTTTCATGGCGCTGAAGTTTTAGGTAACACTTCCATGCTCCTGTTGTTGATATATTATTTGTCTATAAAAATGGATGCTTGAGCCAAACTGGTGTAGCTCTTTTCTAAGTGACATATGGGGCACCTAATGTAGGAAAGAATAAATGTTTATCTCCTAGTGAGCCAGTAAGAAGAATTTCAAGTTTAAAACATTAATTTGTTCTAGCCTGGGCAACAGAGCAAGACCCTGTCTAAAAATAAAATTAAAAAGTAAAACATTAATTTGGCAGGAAATAGATCTCCTATGCCTTACTGGGAAGAAGCTGATAACCTTTGTGATCTAATTTCTCTCCTTAATTAAATTTATACATTTGGAATTTGCGAAATATAGGTTGAACCATAGCCAAGTTTTTTGACGGTTTTTAACACTTAAAACAGCAGTTTCATGGGTTCAATCCAATAGGGGCAGCCAAGCTTCCAGAGACTTGACGGGCATGGAGGCCTCTCCATAGCCTAAGTAAGGCTGAGTGGAATTAAACCCAAAGTTCACTTTTCAGCTCGGAACTGAAAGGAGCTTTGGTGCCTTGCCTGTGGGTCTCATTAGTAGCTGTACTCCGTATTCCCCTAGGTATGTGGGGCCCGTCATTGAGCTCTACTTCACATTTAGAGCACTTTGGTACCACACTGGTGAGTCCTGGCTTACACTTTAACATGGGAGGCTTTGGAAAAGTGAGGTCTGAAATAGAGATGGAAAGGTAGGTAAATAGGTGGATATGTGAATCACTGGGTGAGTAGTTAGACTGATATGGATTGTATGCCAACGAAGCAGAACTTATTTCAGAAAAATGGAAGTAATACATAGTAGATCTCTGTTTTATATTGAAAAGTCTTGTATGTATATAGTGCTGTCTCATTGTCAGAGCACCTTTGCATGCATATTTAATTTGATTTGTACAACCGTCTTGTAAAATAGACATGGCTAAATTTTTATGCCCTCCTCTGCCCCCCTCCCCCTTTTTAAGGATGTATAAACTGAGGTATAGAAAGATTATCAAGTTTGCTCAAGCACATTTCCTATTCAGGTTTTCTGTCAATCATGCCATGAGGCCTCCTTGTGATTTCCTCACTGTAACTTGGAATGACTGCAAGGGAGAAGTAGCCCTTACATCTGACTGCTAATTAAATAATAGGGTTCTCTTATTTTTTGTGAATTAATGTGCCTAAGAGGATCAGATAGTAACACTCTGTTAGAGCCTATAGTTAGTCGACATGGAATCAATAAATCCTATGGTCTAACTATGAAGCCAGTGCTTTTCTTACACAAAAAGTATGCAGGGCTCAGCCCAGTGTGCTGTCCATGGTAGACAGCACTGAAGATAATAAAACTTAGAATACGAAAACATCAGAGAAACCCAGATTTGGAAAGCATGTTTTTGGTTATGCATTCTAGTTCTTTAGTCTAGTGAATTAGTCTCCTTTGAGACGCTTTTTCAGTGAAGAAAAGTCATATGTACAGGCAGCTTGTTCCATTTTCGTTAGGAAGTTCTTTTTTATATTGAACCTCTCTATACCTTGTACTTTTCGTCCTTATTCTCCCCAGAATAATTTCTTAGTGTACCTCTAGCCCACATAACCTTTCAGGTCTTATAACATAGCTTTTGTGTTCACCCTTTGACTTTTTCTCTACGACAGTGGTTACAATTCACATGCTCATAGCCTCGCTCATAGTAGGTCTGAAAGCCAGGGGTCAGACAATAGGATGTAGACTGGTTCCTATTAAATGGGGCTTTGGCTTCCCCTCTTCATTAAGTTATCCCCAGACTTTTCTCCCTGCCAACCCCTAAGATAAACAGAAATCCAGATTCTTACATGAAGTTTTCCTGTGTTACTAAAATCCTGTACAGAATGAACTAGCCCATTTGCCGTCTGAATCTAGCCTACCAGCTGTCATTATGCATTTTCTCCTGCAGACTGAGTTCTGGGTTCTGTCAAAGCTTTTTTCATTTGTTAGTTTTGAAGCCTTCAGTATTTTCTGGATGTGTCCATTGGTCTTCTCATAGAACATCTATATCTGAACAGAATGCCCTGAGCCTGGTCAGCCCAGTGCAGCTTAGAGTTGACTTTTTTATTCCTTTGTCAGGACTCTAAGTTTCTTAAAGGAAAAGTCTCATGACCATATCTTGCTGTAGCATGACATTGCCATCTTATGTTAAGCTTGTGGTTATAGCTGGCTTCTAATTGAGCTTTCTGCATATTGCTGCAAGTTTCTCTTCTTTTTTTCTTTTTTAAACAAACAGGGCCTTGCTATATTGCCTGGGTTGGGCTCAAGTAATCTACCTCAGTCTTCCAAGTAGTTGAAACTACAGGTGTCTACTACCATGCCTGGATTTCCTATTGTTTCACAGTTTGCTTTTTAATCTAAATGTGGGACTTGTCATGTGTTCCTGTAGAATCGTTTATCCCTGATTCATGTCTACCTTATTCACTGTGTCTTCTGTCTTTATGACATCTGTAACCTAAATATGCTATCTAAGTCACTAATTAAAATTGTTTAACTAGGATAAAATACTACCTATTGGGTACAGTATACACTATTGTGTATGGGTACACCGAAAGCCCAGACTTCACCACCATGCATGTATTAGTCCATTTTGTGTTGTTATAAAGGAATTCTTGTGGCTGGGTAATTTATTGAAGAAAATAGGTTTATTTGGTTCACGATTCTGCAGACTGTACAAGAAGCATGGCACTAGCATCTGCTTCTGGTGAGGGCCTCAGGAAGCTTATAATCATGGTGGCAGGCAAAGGGGGAGCATGTGTGTCACATGGTGAGAGAAGATCAAGCCAGAGGGGGTGGAGGTGGCCAGGCTTTTTTTTTTAAACAAACAAATCTCATGGTAACTAATAGAGCGAGAACTTATTCATGAATCAAGCACAGCCCCTAACCATTCATGAGAGATCAACTCCATGATCCAGATACCTTGCACTAGGCCCCACCTCCAACATTGGGGATCACACTTCAACATGAGATTTGGAGGGAACAAAAACCAAACTATATCAATGCAATATATCTGTGTAACACCACCGCACTTGTGGGTGGGTCTTTGGGGCTTGAGGAATTGATGCTGATATTTTATCCCATTATTCCCCATCTCACTCCATCATCCTCCTTTTTCTCGCCATGAATTAACTGTCCTTGAATTGACAGGCCCTTCCAACCTCTGCACTCTGCAGTCAGGTCTTTTTCACACCCCTGCTTGTTCCAGCGTTTTTCTAAACTCCACAGTCTCCCATGGTGCCACCTGGTCCTAGTGTGTTTCTCTCATGACATGGAAACCTTCATCCCTTTCCTTTTGACAAATCAGGATGACATTTACCCTGTTTCTTTTCTTTGGGCAGATTTCTATTTTCTGTGGATTTTCAGTGATCTCAAAAAGGAATCTTGATAATCTCAGTTTAAAATTTCTTTCTTCAGTTAGAATTTATTGTATCCATGAGATTTCAACTTATTTTCTGTAGCAGCTGAATATGTTCTTTGCAGTCAGCCTTCTGACTCTCTTTCCTCTGTCAGTGAATACAAAAGCAAAATAGGAATTGAGCTATTTTGCTATGACGTAGTGGAAAGTTAGGAAGCTTTGGGCTTGAATCCTGACTCCCTATGTATTTCAGGAGCTCAGAATGTGAGCTATACGGTCAGAAGAACTGCATACAAACTCTGGCTTTTCTGCCTACTTGCAGTATGACTTTCAGCAAGTTTGTATACCTGTTGTCTAAGCCTGATTTCCTCATTCATGACATGGGATAACAGGATAAATGAGATACTGTTAAGTAAAATAGGAGATACCTCAAAATTGACAGTTGTGAAATCTCAGTTCACTTGGCAGTGTGGATACAAAGACAGGATCCCTGCCTTCAGTCTTAAACAGGTGACTGAAAACTTTGGGCAGATTATTGCCTACTCTGAGCCTCAGTGTCCTTTTCTATTAAGTGACATTATAGAGTCACCTGTCACAACAAGTCACAGCAAGTAGGCTTGTTATGAGACAAAATGAGATGACTTGTAAAAATGTCTACTGGTACCACCTATGGGGCATAGTAGCTGTTCATTAAATATTAATTCACTCTTTTCATATCCCCCTCATATATTATCTGCTCACCTTGATAGATTGTATTATCTTTCTTGATCCCAATATTAATTTTATTTTTATTTATTTATTTTTTTGAGACAGAGTCTTGCTCTGTTGCCCAGGCTAGAGTGCAGAGGTGCAATTTAAGCACACTGCAACCTCCACCTCCCAGGTTCAAGTGATTCTTGTGCCTCAGCCACCTGAGTAGCTGTGATTACAGACGTGCACCACATCTAGCTAATTTTTGTATTTTTAGTAGAGACGTCATTTTGCCATGTTGGCCAGGCTGCTCTTAAACT